AAATAACAATGCCCCCACAATAAGATCCTTTTTATAAAAGTCAGCGATATCCATATCAATTAACTGATCCTAAAACCCCTATAATGACGACCCACGTATATCTATTGTTAGGGATGTGTGCACAACAATATACCACTATGAATGTATACACAAGTAGGGGACTCTGAATATAAACCACTAGTTTTGACTTAATTAACATGTGTGTTTGCATACCTTGACTTCTTATATTAACAGGATGGGACCAAATGGATTTAATAATAAATAATATATACAGTTGGTATATAATTTGTTTTATATGATGTTAATCAAATTAAAGGATGTGAGGGCATATCGAATCACGCTGCTACCGCCAAAGTACAAAAGAAATATAAAAATGTATTAATTTCCTGACAAATCAGTTCAGGAAAATGCGACTATTAAATATATAATTATTCCCGAAGAATAAAGCGTTATTAGTATTAGAGGGGGTTTGGTTGTCATTCCAGAGGCGGATTAATACTATATTCCAAAAAAACTCGTGATATAATTGTAATAAATTAAATTGTAATTTTTAACACATTAATTATTTAATTATTTGCATGTAAAACCGGCACCGGTAAGCGGTCGTCAACCGCCGAAAATTATATTCCCTAAACAAGGCATATTGTTGGCCGACTGAGCATTCTCGATTCAACTTCTTTTTAGTAGGAGGGTGTTATTTTGTTTACATCATCATCACTTTTGTTTAGTTCGAAACCTTTCAGGTTAGAGATCCATATATGTGTACGGCGATTATAGACATTTTGTATTTATTCGATATTTGTTTAGTGTTAGTGGACGTAAAAAATGGCAGTCAGCGTCTTCACAAAGTGATGTGTCGTGTGTTGTTATGTAAGGTATGAGAATGTCATATGCAAATCCAGTCCAATTATTAGTAAACACGCTATGACGAAACGTGTGTCGTCGAAAAAACACCAAACGTTGATTGGCAGCGACAAAAAGCGGTGAAACCGAGGAGAGCTGTTATGCAAAGAAGTAACAAATGTTCGAAAACATTACGATTTGTATGGGGTAATTAATAATTAGATCTTAGAATTAATTTTTTTTATTGTTCCAACGCCTTCGCCTCCGTTTGTAACAAAATATTGTTTTCAAACATTTGTTGTAAATACAGAATTACCTTAATTTTTTAATTAAATAAATTAGTTGTTCACAGATGACTTTGTCTTAAAAGATACACTGTTTTTATTTTAAATTTAAACCACAACATTCTATTAAATGTGAAAGATAGTGACAATATTTTATGTAGTGCTGAAATAAGGAATTTTCTTTAAACTGAACTGAATATGGAGGGTGCATCACTTAAAATAATAAAAAAATTGAATTAACTTTCGGTTAAACAGGAAGTAAAACATATGACTGTGATACGAATTTATAATCAGTGGAATATCACATGTCCATTTGCACAATAATATACAGGGTGCTAATTTTTGTATTTTTCAGTTTTTCGGCCACAACTTTTTTATTTCAAGTTCAATTGGTATTTCCCATCGAATTCAGATTCCTCAGAAAAATAATATAGCATAGTAGTTGTGGAATTTTTTTCCTGTGAAAAACTAAGCAATGAAATCAAGTAAGCAAATGATCACTCTGTATATTGTACAACAATCAAGACATTCCAGCCTGTATTTTACTTGCCGTTAAGATAACCAACAAAATTTAGGGTAAGGACAAGAGAAAAGTGAGGAGAATGTTTCTATGGCGGAGCCAAAAAATTTACTATTTCCAATACCAAAAAAATCGTTTCAACTTTTGCTCAATAACAATCGAAAATTGTTTTTTTAATTTTACTGAGATCCTAGATACAACCGTCAAAGAATCAAAATTATTTAACAGAATTCCTATAAAAAATATTAATTAAAAATTTCATTAGTAACATTTGGAGATATCAACGATGCATTAGGAGATAAACCCACAAGAAACAAATGACAAATGAGCCCATACTCTTGTACTGCATGGCAATTCATGGTTCCCACTAAGAGAGACTTCCATGACGTTACAGAATTTCCATGACAGATATAAGAAAATTTGATGGTTGTCTAATAAAAACATTATTTAAAGATTTTCAATAACGAAATTAGGGAAACTTTAACGATGGATTAGGAGCGAAACTGGCCAAAAAAAAAAAAAGAAAAATAAACTTCATCTTGGGTTTCATAAACTGCACAATATCAGGGTTCACAGTAAAACTAAATTAAGAGAATTTAGTAAACTTTACAGGTTTTCCTTGACAGATATGATATAACATTTCTCAGATCAACAGCAACGTAAACAACAAATAACCAACAATCTAAAAAATGAATATCCATGGACCCTCGCGCTATATGTGTTTCATTCCTGAAGTGGGTTGGAACCTTTGATGTGAAAGATAACACTGACGTAATTTTCCACGGAACACCAAAACACCATATACTACAACTCGACGTGCGTTTCGCCAACCAAGTTGTCATCATCTGGAGATGATTAAAATTGTTTTAATTATTTCCAGATGATGCCAAATTGGTTAGCGAAACGCGCGTCGGGGACAATATATGGTGTTTTGGAGTTTCGTGGAAAACTACGTCAGTGTTATGTGTTTCATTAACGGTCGACAACCTAACCCTTCCGGAACTAACATATTTCATTGTAATTTTAGCAATTTAACAAAAAAAATGCTGTATTGTAACCAATGACCGATATGTTCAATTGTTTCGTCCAGAATCAAAATGTGGCCCAAAAGGAAAAAAAAGTTACAAAATTTAGAAATTGAACATTTTTATGAAAAAAAATCAGTTTTGTTTTTATATGAATAAATTTATTCCTAGAGGCAGGTTTTTGAACCATACATTTTTTTCAGTTTGGATTGAAAGTAAGAAAAAGCCTATCAATCTTTACGGTAGGTAGCCGTTTTCCAATAAGCTTTGTCAAGACGAACTGGACGGACAGAGTTATGTGGAATAGCCTACTTGAGATACCACGTAAAACAAAAAACGCGCTTCGTCCCCCGGGGGGGGGGGGGGGGAAAAGGAAAAAAAAAGTAAAAAATTTTACCTATAATCTATAAACTAGTGCTGGGCATAATCGAATAACGGTTATTCGAATACCTTTAATAATCGAATGATCATTCGAATCATGGTTAGAGCGCGAGGTGGGGAAATCGACATCGATGGCTTGGCTCGGCGATATTCGGGAACTCGAGTCATAATTCATAATCATAAATAATCGATTTGACTGGCAGTTGACTGTTATTTCTATATAATTCTCAATTATAAAATTTAAATTTTAACGTAACCCAAACCGGTTCTGTACTCAAGACAATCAAACTCCAAATGGCATCAGCCAATAGCCATCTACATTCCGCAGATCAGCACAATCAAAATGCCGCCGACGGTAAACAACTAAACTTAATAATCTCAACATGCATTCAAGTGCACTAGTACTCGCATCGTATCTCATCGTTCGAATCACGTATTTGAAATGTGAATGATGAGCTTACTGAAACGAATGACGATTATTCAATTCGGTGGCACTACTCTTCGGGAACTAAATCATTCAAATTATCATGATGAGGGTATTCGAGATATCTCGAGATATTGCAATAATCGAATGAGCGATTATTTTTCATTCGAATTATCCCAGCAATACTATAAACATACAATAAACTAATCAATTTTAATGTTGAAATACTATTTCACAACTACAACTAGGATTGTCTATATTGAGAACAGACAAATCAAGAAAACAGATAGAATATCTGCTTTTTAGCTTATTTGACAGCTAACCGTTGAGTTAAGGGAAAAATACCTCAACAGTTTTAATAGGAAATTTTCTTCTTTTAACGCCAGACTTACGGTAAACGAGATATAAGGGCAAATTCAATTTTTGCCCTTGCGGATGTTGATTACGACCCTAAAATGTACGTTGTTACAAAATTCAGATTTATTACAATTAATGCGACCTAAAAACCCCTACCGACTGGCCTATGACTAGAATTGGTCATATTAAGTTATGCACGACAGTCATGACACCTCCCTTGATTTACTTCGTAACTTGCTGATTTAATTTCCAATTTATGTTTTATTTTCAGGTCAGTGGGAACCTGCCTCAAAGAGAGGGACACAGAGAAACATTTCTGTGCATATTTAATAATTTAATAATGGATGAAATATTTTATTATTCTGACATTAAGATGTCATTGGCACAGTGTATTACAAATCAGTGGTACAGAAACCAGAGGCAAGTGTATCGGATAGGGCGATGCTAGATGGTTTCATTGACTGCACATTGTTTTGGATTGGATTTCCACGAGGACGGCTAGACTGCACTCGGATTTATCTTATTGCCTTATGCAGTTGCCATATTGATTTTCCTGCGGTCTGCTCCGCATGCGTTCCACACCAGACATCGTTTCTTCAATCTTGGAAAAACAATTTTCTCATATTCTATTTACATTTTAATATGTTTTAAGGAAATTTTTAATGTTATCCCGACATAAAAAGAAGGTAATTATAATGATACGGCATTTTTAAGGGCTTATACGTGTTCACTGAAGTGAATATGAGAAGTTTTCCTTCTTGTTTGTCTTGCAATATGTCGGGAACACACATTTGGTTATTATAAGTAGCCTAATCTGTTTTCTGGGATGGTAAAAGAGTCTGTTTGAGAATGTAATTACTTAGGTAAACTTAACCTAAGTTTTATTGTATTATAATTTTTAAAAAAACATTTTTAAATATCTGAATAAACAAAGAAAGCGTGTTTACATTATGTTGTTTTTTTACTCTTATTTGCTAAATTAATTTAACTTCAATAAGTGTATGCCTATATAATAAATAATAATAATAATAAACACCACAGATAATACCACCCCCTGTATCTCTAAACTGACGCTGTACGAGATGGGGTTACACATTTAGAGACAACGGACACACATCCAATATCCGAGTATACTACGACTAATCTCTCTCACAGAAAAATCCCAGTGCCAGGGCTGGGGTTCGAACCCGAGACTTTTGAGTGAAAGTCAAGTGTGCTTGCCTCTCGACCATCAGTCATATGGAGACCTATATCAATTAACGACTATACGGGGTGCCTGTTTAATGCTTCAAAAAAAAATGAGGTGTAAATTCTTGTGTAAAGATCACGAACGGTGGGCCGCCATACCATTCCAGAATTTTTTTCGAAAAAAATCAAGGGAACAATTATATCGTTGACAAGTAAGGATTAAAATTAGTAAAAAACAAAAAAAAAACAGTACAAAAATTCGCTGATATAATGTCCATAAAATATCATGAGATACTCACTATTTTTTTAAAATATCTTAATCGCTTACAAATTGAATTTTCCCTCAATCAACAAAAATCGCAATAGCAAAGGTCGCTTTATAAAAAAGGGGGACAATTTACGCATTAACAATCTACAAATTTACTTTTAAAACACCAGAATATACAGGGCGAGTTATAAAGAATGGGTCATGGAGTAACTTGAAATTCTTTAATTCAAAATATGATAAAAGTTTGACCAAACATGTTTAAGTAAAATGCGCCCAGTTAATGAGAGTATAATTTTCTTTATAATTTTTTGGGTACAACTCAAATATTACTTGACGGATCAAGTTCAAAATCGGTATAGGTAGGTTTATTGTGGTGAGAAATCATAATTTTATATTAGTTTTGACCTAAGTTATACAGGGCATCCAACACAATACTACATTAAATGATAATAATGTGATCTTTTTTTTCAGAACAGCTGTACGGGCATTTTTAACTGAAATTATGGTGTATTTACTTTTACTAATTCTAAAAACACTTGTCTGAAGTCGCTAAAATCAATTGATTTCGAGATATTTAAGGATTAAAAGTTAACTGAATACTACACACTACAAAGTATTTTCATTATTTGCACCAAGTGGGCTTACGTCATATTTTAAATATATAATACTTATTGTATCACAATTAAAATTTTAATCGAAACACATTCATAAACTACAAATAACAAAAAAAAAAGTTTTAAAATCTGTTAAAAATAAAAAAATGTAGGTGACAAAAATTAAACTGCATAAAGACAATACAAAATTATAATAAATGAACCTTTAACTGCAATCGCTTTTTACTTAAACGCAAGTACGACATAAGCCCCTATCCCATTACCTGGGTTAACTAGGCACATACTCTTATTTAAGCATGTTTCGTTAAATCTTCATATTTTCAGCCAAAGAATATCTAGTTACTCTATGGCTCATTCTGTATAACTCACCCTGTACATACGATAAACTGACCATAATTATACAGGGTGATTTTTTTTTGACCGGCCATTAGAAGTATCTTGAGAAAGAAAAAAACATATTGATCTGAAAATTTGGCTGTGGGCATAAACAGCCAGGATCTACTTAATGAAAATATTTTCAAAATGATGGCATTTCCGGGTATACCGGAAGTTGACCTCATCTTCGTTATTTTAAATGAAATGACCATTTTTTTTTTTTGAACTCTACGTAAAATTCTGAGGTTCTTTTATTAAAGGTTCCCTATGCCTAAAATTAATATTTTCCGAGATTTTTTTTTTCGAAAATTTTAGCAGAAAATGTACAAAACATAAAATCTCATTAACGGTTAATAGTAAGACGTTGAAATTTGTATGCAGGTAAGAGAGAGTATTGAGGTAACCAATTGTGTAAAAAAAATTCAAATTTTTCTACAACAAGATTCTAGATGACGTCATCTGTCAAGTACACAAAAATTGCAGTCATTTTTTTTAAATAGCATGCTACACCAGTTGACGGAGAAAAAAATGCGCTTCTAACCATGTATGGTATCCCTATACCCAAAATGTATAGTTTTTTCGATATTTGAGTTTTTTTTTATATTATCGATATAAACTATAAAGCATGGGTCTTTTAGTACGTAGGCTTTGACATAATAAACAAAATTATTGACAAAACTAAATATTCAACAAAAATTGTGACAGATAACACGCATAATTTGTGTTTGGTATTTCAAAGTGCATTCGTTGCTGTCTTATTAAGAAAATGGCAAATAATTATTCAAATTCCGATAATTTCAATTTATTTAACATTCATGGAGAGTGCGAGAAAATAATTAGCAGAACATGAGAACATTTAATGAAACGTATCCTAAATTACCACCAATGATCCGACAAAAATTTAGAAGACTACAAAGCAATTTTGTCAGATATTTGGCAGCCGACAAGCAGATAAAGTTTTACCCAGACCTATCACATCAAATCCAGATAATGAAATTAATGTTTTGGGATATTTTCATGCTTATCCAAATTCATCGATTCGTTCAGCAGCTGTCGACTTGGGCGTTTCCTATAGTTCCATACAGAAGATACAAAAGAAACATAAACTCCATAATTATAGATTCGCTACTGCCCAAGAGCTTTATCCTCATGACTCAGCTCGTAGGATAGAATTTTGCGAAACAATATTGATTCGAATACAAGATCCTCAATTTTTTGGAAAAATTAATTTGTACGGACGAGGCAAAATTTCCCAAGGAAGGTATTTTTAATCGAAGAAATTCGCATCATTCTAGCAACCAAAATCCACATGCTGCACTTGACTGTCGTAAAATTTTCAATACACCTTCAACTTTATTGTGTTTTGTTTGCTAATAAAAATTATAATCTGTTACTGCATTTATGATGAAAATTTAGATGGTCGAAAATATTTAGAAATTTTAAGAACCGTAGTCAGTAATTTTTTAGACAATTTACCGTTAACCAATATTTGTCATGCTGGTACCAACTCGATGGAGCTCCAGCTCATTGTAGTGGACCAGCCAGTAACGAGCAAACTCAGATGTTTGAAGACAAATGGATAAGACGATTGGGTCCATGGTGTTAGCCTGCACGATCTCCCGACCTGACACCGTTGGATTTTTATCTCTGGGGTCGTATAAAAGATGAAAAGTTTATCGATTCTCGGTTAATAATAGACAAGAAATTTTGGATAAGGTCACTAGAGCATTTGAAGCTGTTGATCCGAATGAAATATATAGTGCTACTACACAAGCAGTAAATAAAAGAATTCTTTTGTGTTTGGAAGTTAACGGACAATTTCGAACAACTAATTTAATATTTTAACTTATTGTTTTTTTTAGCTATTTTTTATCATTTCCTTAATAATTCCGGTCTATCATATTTTTTAGAGATAGTTTCGTCATTATTGCTGATGTCAAAGCATTGTCAGAGGCTACTAGATGCTAAAGCTTTTCAATTTTTATGGATAATTTAAAAATAACCTCAAATATCAAGATACTATACATTTTGGGTATAGGGAGACCATACAGGGTTAGAAGCGCATTCTTTTCTCCGTCGACTGGTGTATTTAAATGGGTAGCATGCTACTTAAAAAAAAAAAGGACTTTTTGCCATTTTTGTATACTTAACAGATGACGTCATCTAGAATCTTTGTTGTAAGAAATTTTGAAAATTTTTTTACATGATACTTAACCTCAATATTCTCTCTTACCTGCATATAAATTTCAACGTCTTACTGTTAACCATTAATGAGATATTAATTTTTATGTTATGTACCTTTTCTGCTAAAATTAGGGAAAAAAAATTACATATCGAAAAATATTAATTTTAGGCATAGGGAACCTTTGACAAAAGAACCTCAGATTCTTACGTAGAATCAAAAAAAAAAAAAAAATTAGGGTCATTCCATTTAAAATATCGTAGTTAATGTCAACTTCCGGTACACCCAGAAATGCCACCATTTTGAATATATTTTCATTAAATAGATCCTAGCTGTTTATAGTGTTTATGCCCACAGCCAAATTTTCATTTTCAATGTTTCTCTTTCTCAATGTACTTCTAATGGCCTGTCAAAAAAATTACCCTGTATAGGACAGCATTATGCTGAATGTAACATTGTTCACACGGTTATGTTTGGTGGCGGCTATAATATGGTGTGGGGAGGCATCGCGTCAGAGACTCGTACGGAGTTGGTGGTGGTACCAAGAGGGAGTATTACGGCATTTCTTACATTGCAAACATTTTAAAACCTCATGTAATGCCTTTTGCGCCTTTTTGGAGGAAACAATTTCATTTTCATGCATTATAATGCTCCATCGCACACTACCCGAGTTGTACAACAATTTCGTGCCGAAGTTGATATTACCACAATGCTATGACCAACCAGACGCCAGGACCCAAATCCAATTGAACGCCTCTGGGATATTATGGGTAGGCGGCTTAGAGAACTTCCTCGTCCTCCACCCAACCAACACGAGCTTGGACCAAGGTTACAAGAATTGGGGAAAATGCTGACCAAGGAAAAATTAAGGCCTTAGTTTTCAGTATGGGTCGTCAATGTGAGACAATTATTCAAGCAAGAGAAAGGAACGCTGAATATTAGGTATTTTAATCACATGTTAAGTGTTGTGATAGCGCTGAGAGTTTCATTTTTTGTGTTTTTGCAATGTGTGCACACAAAAGACAATAAAATCATGCAATATTAAAAAGAATGTGTATCTCCTTTAATAACGGAGATAAGAAAGTGAATTAAAAAAGGGAATGAAAAGAACACATAAGGCTATAGTGTGATTCTCTTTGGGAGTTGCTGTTGATGCTAGTGTACTTCACAGGATGTTATGAAATTCTTGGAAAAAAATCCAGTATCAGTATAACACTCGGTATTTCAGCAAAACTAAATTATGACCGGAAATCAGTAGCACATTACATTCCTCACAAATCACTCTACAATATACAAAAAAAAAAAAATAAAAAAAAAAACCAAAATCAGATAAAATGGTTCAGAAGAAAATAAACATCAAATTTATGATAAATTTCTAGTGAGTTAATTTCTTTCAAACATCAGAATATAATTCATTAGTGGTCAAACACAGAGGTAGATTCTTTTGAATCCTATAGTATAATTTATTTCAACCTTATTTGCAACATAATGTCGGCTTCTTACGGCAGTAAAGGGATCAAAGAAGCCGGCGTTTTTTATGTTGCAAATAAGTTTGAAATAAACTGTAATTGTCCTTAAAATAATAACAGGTCGTACTTCCAATTCT